ATCCCATCCCCTCCCCATATCCCATCTCTTCCCCATCCCTTCCCCATCCCATCCCATCCCCATCCCATTTCATCCCATCGTGATCCCATCCCCTCCCCATATCCCATCTCTTTCCCATTGCATCTGTCCTGATCCCACTCCTATCCCCCACCCCATCCTGTCCTGATCCCATCCCCTCGCATCCTGATCCCATCCCCTCCCCAAATCCCATCTCTTCCCCATCCCATCCCTGTGCCCATCCCATTTCATCCCATCCTGATCCCATCCCCTCACAGAATCACAGAATGGTTGAGGTTGGAAGGGACCTCTGGAGATCATCTAGTCCAACCTCCCTGCTCAAGCAGGGTCCTCTAGAGCATATTTCCCAGGACCGCATCCAGACAGGTTTTGAATATCTCCAGGGAAGGAGACTCCACTACCTCTCTGGGCGACCTGTGCCAGTGCTCCGTCACCCTCACAGTCGAGAAGTTTTTCCTCCTGTTCAGACAGAACTTCCTGTGGTTCAGTTTCTGCCCGTTGCCTCTTGTCCTGTCACTTGGTACCACAGACAAGAGACTAGCCTCATCCTCTCGACACCCCCCCTTCAGATACTTGTAGATATACAAGTATGTCTACATACTTGTGTGTAGAGGGTATGTCTACATACCGTCCCCATATCCCATCTCTTCCCCATTGCATCTGTCCTGATCCCATCCCCTCCCCATGATATCCTCTCCCCATCACATTCTATCCCCATCCCCATCACCCCATCCCATCCCTTCTTGATCCCATTCCACCCCCATCCCATCCTGATCCTCCATCACCGTCAGTCCCGCTTCCATCCCACCTTCTCTCCAACCCATCCATCTGCATCCCATCCCCATCCCATCCTGTTCTAATCCCATCCCCATCCCGTCCTGACCCTCCATCCCCATCACTTCTGGTCCCATCCCACCTTGATCCCAGCCCAGCCATCTGCACTGTGTCACCATCCCACCCTGATCCCATCCCTTCCCATCACATCCTGTTTTCATCCCATCCTACCCTGTCCTCATCCCATTATGATCCCATCCCTTCTGCATCCCATCCCATCCTGATCTAGTCCCATTCTGCCCTGATCCCATCCTCCCCATCCCACTCTGTCCCCATCCCATCCTGAGGCTATCCCACCCTGTCTGCGTAGCATCCCCCCCTGCCCCATACCTCACCATCCTCTCTCAACCCCATCCCACACTGTCCCCAT